CTAACTCACTATATTTTTTTTCTTGCCACCAGATATCTTATTTATTGTTCAGTGGAGCCACCAAACACCATTTATTTTATTTCTGACCAATTTCTCCCTTCTATTAAATTAATAATTAGACCCTATTGAATCAGTGTCCTTTATGTCTTTGAAATGCATCTCCTCTTCTCCATGTTCACACCCATTTATCTTAGGTCAGGTTCTTATTCGTTCTCTCTCATACAGCTGGTTAATATCCCTGTCTTAATCACATACACTTCAAACTATCTCCAAATTCTTGTGTGTGGTCTTTCTGTAATACATAATCATGCCACTCTTCTACTTAAAATCATGCCAGGCCATGACATTACCAAAATGATAAAACTCTGGAAGGCTAAGAAGCTTCCATCTCCCTGTTCAGTGTTTTCCACAATGCTCACAGGTGATATGAGCATTTTATAGGTCATTGGTCCTGAATTATTTGCCATTCCATGAGTAGGGCATCCTTTTTCTATGTTTTTGCTGTTTATTCTATCTACTTACACTGGGGTTTCCTTTCATTTTGTGCACTTGGTGGGCCCTATATATCTTTTAAAACTTACCCAAGGTGTCACTTATTCTAGTTTTCTTCCATTCACCATCATGTGATCTCTCTGTCTCTCTTTCTCTGTGTATATTGTATATATTTTTGTAGGTTCCACTTAACAATGTATTCTAATTATTAATAACTATTTATACATCTCTGCTAATAAAAATGTTGAGTCTGTTGGAGACAAGATGCAATTCTTGTATGATATCTGGTGCCAAAACTGTATGCTAGAATGTAATCCACTTTTAGAGCAGAATATGATTTTAGAGATCATGTGGTTCAAATTCTTTGGTATGTAGATGACCTTAACAGATTCGAGATTATTTGTTTATACTAGTCTGGTCTTTCACAAATCTGAGTCAATATTAGTGGGGTTAAGTTCCTATTATATCTAAGAAATTTTTATCTGGAATTGGCCAAGCTAAGGTGCACTGTTTCGCCTTAAGTTTACCAAGCATTATATACAGCATGATTTAAAAGTAATTTTGCTTAGAATTATTAGGATTTAATCTAAAATACAGACTTGTGAACAAACTCAGCTAAGATCTGGAGAAGAATTTGTGCAGATTAAAAGTTTCAGCCTTCCATGTTAAAATTAATTTCAATTATTAATACTAACATTAATGTCATTTTTTTGCACCTTAATGATGTGACTGCCTTTTCCTACGCCACATGCACTAAATATGAATATCAATACGAACTTTTCTTCTCCTACCTGTAAATTATCACCCATGTTTGTTTTCCTGACATGTTACCTGCATTGTGCATCTTTACTTTCTTGTTCCCTTCACATTAGGACTTCTCATGAATTACATTTCTTTTTTACTGACATACAGGGCTTCATTCACATTTGTTTCTGGTATCACCTACCCTTGCTGCCTCAGGCATTCCCACCATTATGGGCTGGATAAGGCCTGATTCTTCCTAGTTTATGCTTGTCTGGAAGTAACTAAGAAAAATTCTGGACTAAAAAACAAGTATTCTGGCAAAAGATTGAGGGAAATACTACATTGCAAATGTAATGATGCTCAAAGGATACATTATGTGGCAGTTGTTTAAAATACAAATGCTATTTTCTGAAACACAACCAAAGAAAAACTTGTCAGGTACCCAGGTTAGTTTACACTGACCAGAAAGTTTATTAGAGGTTAGGATGAAGAAAAGAACATAGCCAAGTGAAGTCAAATGCAGTTGCTGAAATCTTTGTAGAGGTAGTTTGACTGGTTGCTGGAGAGAAGACTAAATACAATCATGCAGAACAGAAGAGGAGATGTTAAATGGAAAACAAGACGGAAAGAAGAACACAACAGAGGGAGATGATGAATTTATGCCAGGTCTCTTTAAGGCACAGGATTGATTCTAATCCATGGACTTCAGCCAAGAGAAATTTGTTGTGTTATTGTTGTGATTTCAAGAATAAAATCTTAGGCATCTGTATTTACAGTGTGTAATGTTTTGTATTTTTTAAGCTGCCAACAATGTGAATTCTACTAAAAAATACAGATGGTTAAAATCTCACGCACAGAAAGTGGTCTTTTTGTTATTGTACATGCTATGTATCTGATTCTTTATATTCACTTTCTCCTATATTTTCCACCTCCTGACAAATACTGCTCCTCTCTTATTTGGTCATATACATAGAATCTTATGTAAAACTAATTACATTATTTTTCATGTGTTAAATTTGTTCTGTTTTCACTGTATGCCAATTTTTGAGTTCTATTTTCTTGAGCATGTATGACAAAACTGTGTCATAGAACTTTTGGAAATCATCGAATGTATATTTTATAAGGTAAAGAAAAAATAGCTATAATCATACCAGTCTGCATTCAAATAATAACTAGATTAATCATAATTTTATATATACTATAGTGTTTTATTTCAAAATGAAAACACTCCTTTTTCAGAACATAAGTCCAAGATTAAGTATACTCAAAAGGAGTATATGACATATGTACATGTAGTGCAGAGGCAGGTAACAATGACATTATTTAATTGTTAGGCAGAATTGTTTAATGAATTTTAAAAATGTTATTTTAATAATTAGAAATCAACATAGACTAAACATTAGAAATAGCTCAAAACACTTTTGATGCCTTCTAAGTTATTGTATGGTTTTTTCTTTTATGTTGTCCAACAAGAAGTCACACCCTTTTGTAGTGCAATACTTTGAAGACAATATTTTTTACCTAATGATGATTCAAACTGTGATAGTCTGAAAAGAATGTTGTAGCAATTTATATTTGCATAGTGAACAGAGTATATTTATCATTTTATAGACAATGAAAAAGTAATATAGTTTATTTTCATTATTAAAGCTACTGACCAAATAGGGAAAGCTATAATTAATCTATCATTACTCATTAAAAAATTCTCTTAGTATGAAGAAAATTGAAACATTTGTGTTCCAAATAGATGCATTTAATGTCTTGACCACTTTAGCATGGAATAATACAAAATGTCTGTTAGTTAATATTTCACCAATGATATGTGTTAACATTATTTTAAATCTCATGGTTATGTCAAATCTCTAACAAGAGTTTTGCAGAAATATACTTTATATATTGAAATCAGTAAGACATATGTGCATATGTATTATAGCTTATGTCTGTATTTTATTAAATTCATCAATTTTCAGGCCGAGAGCAGTGGCTCACCACTGTAATCCCAGCACTTTGGGATGCTAAGGTGGGTGGATCATTTGGGGTCAGGAGTTCGAGAGCAGCCTGGCCAACGTGGTGAAACCCCGTCTCTACTAAAAATACACAAATTAGCTGGGCATGGTGGCACGTGCCTGTAGTCCCAGCTCCTTGGGAGGCTGAGGCAGGAGAATCACTTAAGCCTGTGAGGCAGAGGTTGCAGTGAGCCGAGATCGCGCCACTGAACTCTAGCCAGGGTGTCAAACACAGACTGTCTCAAAAATAAAATAAAATATAATAAAATAAATAAAATGCATTGATTATCAAAATATATTCACTTTATTTAGGCTATTGACTAAATATGCTTAAGTATCAGCTTGAGTTACCCTCAAAGATTGTCTCAAATCCACATTTTATGTCCACTGGTCAGCCTGGAGCCTTTCCAAATACTTCTGCATATTCCAAATGCACCTTTTTCTGGTTTTATTTCTCTTTGTGCACTAGAACTTTTTGTTTACCTTATTTCATTGTTTCTTTCTCTCAATTTTGGCATGTACCAAATCTGGACACTCAGTGCCTTTTGTTTATTTTTACCAACTCCTCCTCTGATCTGCCCCCAACAATAACAAAAAAAGTGTCACTGGGATTAATCATGAATGATCACTAATATCAGTATTATTTACAATAGCCAAAAAGTAGAAACAGTCAAAATGCATATCTACTAGTGAATAAATAAAATGTGGTGTATCTGTAAAAAGGCATAATATTCAGCAATATAAAGGAATGAAGTCGTGATTCATGGTACAACATGATTGAACTTCAGAAACATTGTTCAAGTGAAAGAAGCTAGGCACGAAGCACCACAAATGTTATCATTCAATTTATATAAAATGTCCAGAATAGGAAAATCTCTAGAGATGGAAATTAAATGAGTATTTGCCTAATACTAGTTGGAGAGGAGAGGGAAGGGGATGATAACAAGAGGATATGTTTGGGTATTTTTGGTGATGAAATTATTCTAATATTGATTGTGGTGATAGTTTTACAATTGCAAACATACTGAAAAACATTGGTCGTAAACTTAACTGCCCGAATGGTGTAGTATGTGAATTACATATAAATAAAGCTGTTATAAAATGAAACCATCAACATTTCACATAGTCTTTTTGTTGGTAGCCATCAAGACAGAGGTTTGTTTGAAGAAATGGTGGTCCAAATGTTATGCACAAACGATGTAAAAATGAAAATGCAGAATCTCAGTTCTTACTATCACACATTCATCCAGTCTCCAAATACAGCTCCAGACTATTTTTGGATAACAAAGATATCCACAAATGTTCACTGACATTTTTGTTTGTTTGTTTCATCCCTTTTATTTACCCACCAGCATTTATCTAGGGAAAGCAAGGATATAGATTGTAGTTTTCCACTGTCATAAAATACTTCAGTAACATACTCTAACTTTATTTCACCACTTTTGCTGCTTAGAAGGTAGTAGCAACCACAGAAAGTTTGGGTCTTAAAGTTTCTATTTTGATAACACATTGTTTGATCATAGGCGTATGTACATCTTAGCTTCTGAATAGAGTGGATGAGACTAAACTACAGCTAGCTGTTAAGTCTGAGTTATGTGGGTAGAAGCAGAAGTATCTTTTAACAGAGGAAGAATGTGAAGAAAGTTTACAATTAAGCACTATGTAAATTACCTGATCAAGTTGTGTTTCATGGGATGTGATACCTCCATTTTACAGAAGCTTATTTTAATATTTTCTGTGCAATTTTTTTTTTTTTAGCTTTAGATCCAGCTAAGGATCCATGCTTAAAGATGAAATGTAGTCGCCATAAAGTATGCATTGCTCAAGATTCTCAGACTGCAGTCTGCATTAGTCACCGGAGGCTTACACACAGGTAAACATTGTTAAATTTAATCCCACTGATTGAACAGTGCTCCTTACCAGAAATAACTGCAGAGTATAAATATTTGGCAGCACCTGCTAATCTTTTATGCAGAGTTTTATTGAAGCAGTTACAGAAGCTTGGTTAATACAATTATGATTCACTTGGGTTAAACATTGGTATCAATCACCATTACTACAGATTATAGAATTTGAGGCATATATTATTAAATAAAGAAGGTCGTATAAAGATGATATTTAAATGTTATATCTAGATGTTTGTGCTTTTTCAAGTTTAAGGAACAATTAGTTTTGTTCCCTCCGCATATTTTTGTTTGTGGCTATTCAAACATCTTTATTTCCCTCAGGAGAGAGTTAGAAAGTTACGGGAGAGAAACTGATTGATGTTCATAAAAAGAGATTAAAAGTCACGAAATAGGCAATTGGGACTCGAACCCCTCAGGACACCTTCTGTAGGAGTCACTCATACCAGTGGAGTCCTTACATCTATTCCCTGGATGCTGATTCACAATTTCTAAAGAGGAAGGGAGGATTTCAAGTATCTTATGACAACCATCACTGCTTCTGTTAGACGGGCTCTGTTTTGGGAAGGACCAGTAATTTAGAAATAGCCTGTGTAGTTTGGTGCTGTCTTAAACATTTGAACGCGTCAACAATCAAACAAGAATTCATTGGTTAGCCGACTAAAACAAGTGGTGTATTCATTTCCTTTATCATTTTTAAAGTTACTTTTTGAGAATATTCTTTCTTTGATAATAGACTTAATGTATGTATTGCTTTCAAATCAAATGAACAAAGAAAATTTTGCTATTTGTGTATGCTTAGAGAAAAATTGGATTTTTGGCTTTAGTGTACTTGCATATAAATTCTGTTACTCAAACACACCAAGAGTAAGAGGATAATAAGAATATTGGAAAATAAGAATATAAATAGCATTTCTAGAAAACAAATATTTGTTACATTGATATTTCTTATAATGTAAGAGCACATATACATAACACCCTCTTTTACATGCTAAAAGGATTAGAAGTCTTTATTTCACAATGTTAAGTCTATAGTGGCAGATTTCTAGAACCAAGGGAGGTTGATGTAACAAAGGTATGGGGGTTTGGAAATGTGTTCACTTGGGTTAGAATCATGGTATCTCAATAACGTACTTGTGGAAGACACAGAGGGAGTAGGAGAAAGAAAACAACGGTTTGGTGACATAAAGAATAAAAGACTTCTTGAAAATCACAATTCTATAAAGTTAGCCTTCTAGGGGAGAGCACAAATGGGTGAAGCAGTTATCAGTAATATATCCCCTGTTAATCCTGACTTTGATGCTAATTTTTCAAAGGGATAACAAAGCTTTGGACCAGAAACTCATTTTTCTATTTATTTCCTTAGGATTCTAAATTTATTGGCCTTTCTATTAATTAATCAAACAAATTTAAAAATATTAGTATGTGAATGTGTGTATATTGGGGTGAAATAAAAAAAAAGAAGGGTTTCAAAAGGGATTCATATATGATCTCTCACCTAAGTTACAGAGACTACGTAAGTTCATCTCCCATAAAAGCAAAAGCTGTTTTATCACAAATTCTAGACACCCTGGGAAAGATTTCCATGTGCAGACATTTAACAGCTTTGAAAAGATTCACCTGCCACTTCACCCCTGGCCCCATGAACCCAAGTCAAAGAGCAACCAAAGACCTCACAGTTAATATCATGTCTGTGGCAGAGACACACTCGTTTTGACACTTGCTGGACACTGAAGCTAAGAGAGGTTAAAGTAACTGACTCAAGACTACGAAGCTACAATTATTCAGAGCTTCAATTCCAATCGGTACTGATTGACCCCAGAGTCTAAGCTTTTTACAACTATGCTGTCTCATTACTTCTCTGACTTATTAAACGACTTAACTACAGGCAAAAATCTTCCTTAACATGATAAAGACTATCAGAAACCAATAGCCAAATATCCCTTAATATATAAAATTGAAAGACCCTTAATAGGGCACTACTGAAGCTTTGCCTTCGGTGTAGTGGCGCAGGGGGTTCAGAGCGGAGACTAATATGCTTTTAGTGGGTGAATTTCAAAATGTTTTATGTAAATAGTATTTAGTCCTGTTCTATTTCTGATAGAGACTATTTATAAATTTTCATTCAATCCACACTCTAGTCAATAAATAAATCACTAGTTCCCAACAAATTGATTTTAAGATTAATATTTGATATGCTTTATTTGCTTTGAGGATGTCAGTACATAGTGAATGTTTATACAACACTTAGGGAAGAAGAGCTTTGCCAAGCACTTTATCAATAAAAATGGCTAATATAAATAATCTAGATCTTAGATTTGAGGATTGTGTGTATTTTGGGGATGGGGTAGAGAAAGCAGGGAAAGTGGGCTTAATTAATCAAGTTTTGGCCATTTGCATAGTTTAGAATATATATTGCTACTTTTTTTTCCTTTTAAGGAACAACTTATTCTTTTTTCCCTTGATCTCATAAAAGAGAAAGGAAACCTGCCGTTTCTTTCTGCAAGGCGAACACAATTTTTCAAACACATTTTCCAGTCTCCTCTTCCCAATACAATATATCACACTCATTTCTCCATTGCCTTAGAATTTTAAACTTCTCATCTTATAATGCTCACAACATTTGTAATAGTCTGTCTGACATCGATCTCCTTTGACTGACTGAAAGCTCAGTGAAGGTGTCTTATTTACTACTGTGAACCCACATCTTACATTACTGCTCAGTACATGTTTTCTTTGAGGAGTTTAGGGGAACCGCTGCCATTTGTAAAATATTTAGGAAGAAAATTTTGACATATACTTTGATCAATTGAAATGGCCAATCTAGATAATCTAGGTTTAAACGTTATTTTCTTAGTGCTTTGTGTATATTTGTTGAAAATGAATTAAGGAGGGTATAGGCATCAATCAACAAATATGTTTTAAATGGAGGAATAAATGAATGCATGATTTATCAAATAAAAGGAAAAGAAATATTTTTAAAATGTTTATTTTAGTTTAGTTTAAGTTCCAGGATACATGTGCAGAATGTGCAGATTTGTTTTATAGGTAAAGGTGTTCCATGGTGGTTTGCTGCACCTATCAGCCTATCACCTACATATTAAGCCCCGCATGCATTAGCTATTTATCTTGATGCTCTCGCTCCCCCTTCCCCCCACTGTCAACACACACTGACAGGCCACGGTGTGCGTTGTTCCTCTCCCTGTGTCCACGTGTTCTCACTGTTCAGCTCTCACTTATAAGTGAGAACATGTGGTGTTTGGTTTTCTGTTCCTGTGTTAGTTTACTGGGATGATGGCTTCCAGCTCCATACATATCCCTGAAAGACACATGATCTTGTTAAAGAAGGATATTTAAATATGAAATGAGGAATGTAAAAATTAGTTTTAAGAAACTACTAGGTCCTTCACTTGGATTTGTAAATAATGGAAATAATTAGTAAATTTTTCCTTTCTTAGTGTTTTAAATAACAATAATTGTCCTCTGAAATCAGAAAAATAACATGATTAGGTGAATCACAGTTTTACTCTAGCTTTGACCACCACTGCCAGTGTAGAGGATGGTGTAAACCATCCAAATAAGTGATGTTGAAAGTCATATATTTGGAGATTGTCTCCAAATGGCTTTTTCTGTGAAGAACTGGTCTCAAACCAGGTGATATCTTTGTTATTGCGCTTTCTGTTACCATTGTCACTACCAGTTAAAAGAAAATAGTGGTATGAATAATGAGAAAGAACTTTAGCTGTAGCACGTTTTTCCAATATGGTAACATAACCCATTATTTAGATGCTTTAATATGAAATACATGATGGGTTTTCCAAGCTTTGAATGTGATCCCCTTTTTCTATTGTTACCCTTGGGGAAAGAGCTGCAGATGCTGACAGCTGAGGGTGATTGTTTTGTTGTTTTTGTATATTGTGAGCAAGAAGCCCAGTGTTTTATGCTCCCTTGCTGTCTGTGCAGCTGCAGATAATTAGCACTGTTTCTAGATCAGTGTTGGTGGCACCAATCGATGCTGCTGATATTAAAAGAAAAAGGTTTGGCATAATAAGACAGAGTAAGGTTGAAGAAGTTGTTGTAGGACAAAACTAGCCACGTTAATTTCTACTTCATTTACACCGAAGGATTAAAAAAAAAAAAAAAAGAATCAATAAGGAAGTGCTTTTGACCTCCTAAGAAGGCATTATATAGAAAATGATGAAAGTAGTGTAAAATGCTACTTATCAAAAATAATTATCAAAGAAGTGAGTCCTAAAATGTATCTGTTTTAACTGTGCAATCTTGGAATTCATGGTTTATAATGACTATTTTTTTAAAGAAGATCTAAATGCATTTAATTTATCACTGATTGAATAGCTATGGTGTTTGTGTTTCCTTTGTTGAAATATTGAAGGGGCAGAAAGATTTAATCACAAAGCATAAGTTATATAGCGTTCCACAAATGTTTGTTGAACTGAATTGAACTTATCATAATCATTTAAAAATAATGCTTCTCATACTTGTGAGACATTTAACTTCTATGGAATATGACTGTATTAATAATGTCTTCAGAGAGAATTAAATCCTGTATTTATTTCATACTTAATATATGCAATACTCTTTACTAAATGCCTTAAATTGATTTAGCTTTTACAATGATGCTAATGCTTTATACTAAACACTATTATACCCATAACTGAGGCTCTGAGATTCTAGGTGTTCTGCCTGAGATTAGTTCTATAGAAGCAAAATTGATAGGTATAGTTAGATAGGTAGGTAGGTAGATAGGTGATAGATATGAAGTATACATTTCAGATTTGAAATCATGCCTATCTTGTTTATATATACATATATACATTCTTTTTCCATAATTATCAATTTTATGTATATGAACAGATATTTATAGATACTTAACTTTTCATAAATTTATTTTAGTTAAGATGATGAAGGTTTGCAAAACTTTTAAAAATTAATTACATTTACAAATGGT